TAGACGCCTAATTTAATAAAAATAAAGGTTATTTTCATCGAAAATAAATTTTAAACTTACCTCGCTCCATCTCATAAAATTCTAATGATGTAATCATAAGTCGTTTAAATCATGTTAAAATAAATGCCTTAAAAAAATCTTCTTCTTTTTTTTTTGTTCTTCTTCTTCTTCTTCTTCTTTAAACTTGCTAATTTAAATTCAAATCAATAATAATATCTATTGGCTATTTAATGCTGACATCATAAAACTTTAAATGACGTAGAGGAATTTGAAATTACCGTAATCTCTATTGGCGCATTTAAAGCTAAACGTCGTAAAACCCGGAATCCATCTTAACCTCCATTGGCTTATTTCGACAATGACGTCATAAAATTTTAATAACGTCGAATAGTTTGAATTTAACTTAATCTCTATTGGCTTATTTGAAACTGACGTCATAAAACTTAACTGACGTGAAGTCGTTGGAATTTAAATATCGTATAAATCTAGACAGTTCGGTTAAAGAAAATCCGAGTTAGCTAAAATATATATATAGACAGATATATTCAATATATATATATATATAAAGCTACTTTGGAAGAATGGTCGTTAAAGAAACAATTTTAGGAAGGAAAAAAGAGAGATAGGGAAAGGAGTTATCTACAGTTTCCACCAAACGGAAAATGTTATGGTAAACTGCATTATTGTACCCCGTTCAACGATATGTATGCATGAGTATACTTGAATAAAAGCGCTAGTAGCACGAACTCCTACGAAAAACACCTAATCCTCCTAAGTTTTCCCCCAGGAGGCAACTAGAGATTCGGTCGTTTCCTGCCAGTAACGTGAAAATGGCGACGAGATTTTGATCAAATCATGGAGATGAATTCTACTGCGATGGTTTATAAACGGAATTTATTGTGTTCGCTTGAGGTTTTTTCGGTCCATTCGAAGCAGTCACCAAGCTAAAGCTATCCGGGCGCTTAGTTGATAGGCATAAAAGAGCTTCAGCCGATCAATCAGTGAGACTTTGATGGCTCGGGTATTCTTTTGCTGATAGAATCCGGTGCCATTTTCTTTCTCTTACGGGGATGCCACACGCGCTATCGGAATCATTTTTAGAAATGCTTCTGCCACTTTTCGCTCGTAAAGCCGAAAAACCAATTTAACTTTGGTTTGCTTTTTTCTCGTTCGAGTGCTGACGATTTCGTATCGTCTTTTTCGGGGGTTGTCTCTTTTGAAATGGTAATTATCTAATTTGAATCGGATTTGAATTTTTAAATTGATCTCTAAAGATTAAAATCTCTTCTCTTTTAAAAATTCCCCTCTTGAATTGTTTGAGACTTCAATGATGCTGTAACTAACTAAATTATTTTATTAATAAATCGGCGCCTTACAATAATTTAATATATATTTTTTTTTTAGTAATAATTTGTATTTTAATAAACCTTTAAACTCCTCCCGTTTATAACCTTACCGCATATGCGATAGAGTAAATAATAAAGGAAGGTAAGCTGTGTAATGATGCGACATAAAATCTCTCGTTTATAAGCCAATATCCACGTATTTATTGAAATATATAACAAGATTTATAGCATTTATGTTCCGTAACTGTGGTCGTTTATAGAACTTGACACGTCCAGATTGGTTAAACTATTCTGTAGTAGGCCTATATCCAGTCATAGAAGTAACTTGTAAGGTAATTTTTCTTCAGCTAGAAGATAAGTTTGGGTTGCTTTCCTAATCAATTCGGCAACTTGATGAGGATGGCGTGTTTAAATCCCATCGTTAATTGACATAAATTAACAATGAACATAAATCTTGTAGGCCTAATTTCTATTCTGTGCATTTGGCTTAAGTCTATATTATCCTACACGTGAGAATGATAATTCACTTTATGGAGTGTCATTATTGTAAGATATCTGTTCTATTCCGTTGTTTAAGTGAGACAAATCAAGCAATTTAGAAAATTTCGTGTAAACTTTAACAATATTGCACAAACTAACCACATAATATATCTCAGTTGCATAATTTGATGACACGCTAGACAATTTAGCCCGCCATAATCCAACAATAGTGCCAACTCTACCGATGAAATCATGTTAGATTCAGCGACTCATCAACACTCTTCCAAACACCATTAGCTTAATATTCAGAGATACGACATCATTAAAACTTTACGTGTTGAATTTAAAAGGTGTTATGACATCACAAAGTCTACAATTAATTGTTTAGGGCCGTTCCTCTAACATTATTACTGAGGTATGTTGTGATATTTTACATTCTGGCATCTTGTCGAGTGGAAATGCCAACATATAGACGGATAATTAACACTGTTGTTGTATATCTATGCCTAGTTTATTCTCGAATAGATAATTTAGCATTATCTTTTGTCATCAGTACGATAATTATCTGATTTAATGAGAACTCAAACATTTATAAGAAGAGAAATTATGTCGTAAGATAGGCTAAGTTGTTAAAACTGAGAACAGTGCTTGTCTCTCATCTGTTAAGGCTTTTTAAAACTACCCAATATACATTTTTATATATATTATTTATGATTAAATTAAAATATTAAGTTTAAAGCTATACTTTCATAACACTACTACGTTATTTTGCACTTGTTTTGACTTAAGTTTATTGAAGTAAGCTGCATAATATCACTATATTTTTAAGAAATATACCTAAGAAATAGATTTATAGGCCTACATAATTTAAATAATATCAAAGTTCAGAAAACAGAATGATAAATATTTTAAAGTTTTCTCATATATTAGGAAAATATTATTGAATCAACATACAAGTAAAGTCTAAAACATAGTATAGAAAACGTTTTGTGCCTCTACAAAACACTGAAACTCTTGTATTAAGAATAGAGAAATATAATTTAAGTAGTACCATAGAATGGTAATACGAAAATATTATTGAATGAATATATAAAGTCTAAAGCACAACGAGCCTATAGTGTAATAAATGCTTTGTGCCTGCGACTCTTGTATTAAGAATAGAAAAACATAATTTAAGCAAGATCAAATGGAGGAAAAAGCCACGCGAAGTGATGTATGAAGTCTCACACGGGTGCTTGTTATTAATGCAATTTTGATAAAATATTTAAACAAAAATAGACAGGATTAATCGAAAAGCAAAGAATAAAAGAAGAGGAGAGGGAAAAAAGAAGCGTGCAGCACTCTATACCAGTTAGGGACCATTAAGTCATCGATAACTGCTTTCATATGGTTGCGTTTGGTTGGAAAGGCGGTCGAGGCTTATCTCCCTGAGCGAAAAATCAATCGGGTTCGTGTGTCCCTTCTCTGATTGTCCGCGACAGTATGGCCAGAGGAATTGATAAGAACGCAGCTGACCATTGGCTGCTACTCGCACCCTATCTGCTACGGGATGGTTAATAAAGACTTCCTTCGGGGATGACAACAGAACAATCTCCTACACACATCACAACTTTCGGTACTTGGCTCTTGTCGTGCTACACGTCATACCTCCTATCTTATAACGCTTGCTAGATTATTACACCACATATTCTTCTGTTAGCAAAGTGGTTGATGGTAAAACTTTTTTTATTGTTGGCGCTAACATTAATTCTTGTTTTTACTACTTTCTCAGACGAAAAGCGCTGCAAGAGTCATTCGTCTCGTCGTCTTTTTTCTTTCTTTCTTTCTTTCTTCAAAGTTATTAATTATTTTTAATTCTAGTTCTAATAACAATTAGCGCGAATTTGTGGTTATGAGGATCATTGCCTGGTTAGAATTTTTCTTTTTTTAAAGTGGAAGAAATGAATTGCGAAGCGGGCAATAAAAATGTGATTCATTTCTTCGCTTCAGATGATTTATGGCCTGAATAGTTGGTTGGGGCAAATTGTCACAGATGAGTTCTTTGCAGAAAGATATCTGTACTGCCATAAGACATTTCTATCTTCAGAATTATTTGACAGGTGGGGCATTTTGTCACATATTCGATTTTTTCACTATTACGTATACATTTGTATAAAAACAATACATTATAGCCACGTTATAAGACGTTTACGTGTCCGGTGGGCAATAGTCTAATGATATATGAGTTTCTTACAATCCACATATTCTAGAACTCATTTAGGGCCCTGTCAATACAGAAACTTTTATCAATATTGGTTTAGTCACTGTTGTTGTTGCCGAAACAGTTGTCAATATTTATGTAAAGCTATCGAGATATGGTCTCTGTCATTATCATAATGACATTAATGTTTGTTAATTTTCTTTAAATATCATCAAAATCAATATTCAGTAATTAATAAAGTTGCGATGTGTACCCGACTGAATTAAATTTATATTGCTGTACAGTGTAGCAGTAGTAATTCTATTGCATCGTAGCCACTAAGTATAAAGTATCAGTTTAGGTATTTTTTAAGTAAACAACGGCTTTGTCACTGATTTTTTAGTATCTGAAATCTAGTATTAATTCCGTGTATTCTAACAATAATGAATTTGCGGTAATGTGATTGGATTACTGCAAATACCTCTCAGAAAGGATCAATGTCACTCTCATTGTAGCCATTAACAATGTTTGAAACGTGTAAACTAGTTATGAATTTAACGGAGATGTGTTTCCTATTGGATAATGAGGGCATTTAACCCTAACTAGTTAAATCTCCGGTACGGAAAAGGGGTGATTTCCACGTCATTTACAATACAATGCTAACTAGTCAGCATTTATTGCTCGTGCCTAAGGTCATTTTGGATTTCGAATTATTATTATTTACTCCTCATTGTTAATTTTAATTTAAAAAATTTCTCGATCAAAATATTAATAACTGATTGCGAGATAGGATAAATGCTTCTTCTGACCATTATTATTTTTTTTTTTGTGGAATTTTTAATAATTTTGTCATACGATAATTGTTTTAAAAGGAATCATTTGCGCGATCAATAATTACGAATGATTCTAAGTAACAAAAGTAGAAGATTCGTATACTACAAAAGCATTATGAATACAGTTGTGCTTTATGTACAGCTTTGTCATACATACTCATCTGTTAACACAGTCTAGATACCACAAAACAATGTACATGAGGTATACTGTACATGTGCTACCACAGCACTGATACACTACCTGTTTATTGAGGACAGGCAGTGACCGACGGTTGACAGGAATAAAGAGGGTAGGGTGCCATCAATTGTCCTAGAAGTGGTCTGGAGGCGGAACCGAAATGAGCTGGAGGTGGCAAAAAGGGTCCTGGGCCACCTAAAGTAAATCCGAAAGAGGGTAGAAGAGGTCTTGCAGCCATACGCAATTTCTCTAGTTCGGCTTCTTTTAGACGTTTCTCTTTGGCTCGCCTATTTTGGAACCAGATCTTCACCTGGGTTTCGGTTAAGTTGAGGGAACTAGAAAATTCCGCTCTTTCCGCTATAGACAGGTACTGTTTATTACGGAATTTTCTTTCCAGGGCAAGAAGTTGTTGCGTTGTGAAAGGAGTCCTAGGTTTGCGGTTGCTTTTGTGTTTTCTTAGTTGACATTTCATTGCTGGTAATTTGGGTGGTTCCCCCGGTTCTGAAAAGAAACAAACAGTAAATGGTAGAAATCGATGTTTTCTATTAAATCCACTTTAAGATTTATAGGAAATTAAACGAAAATGGATTCATAAACTGTGGTAGTTCCTTCTAAATTACCCTTCCAGAAGGCAGATTCGCTTGTTTTTCAGAAATAAAACAAAATTACATCGATTATGTTGGGACACGCCATTTTTAATTCGTAAATAAGCATTAAAATTAAAACGAAGCAAACATTATTATTAATTAATGTGCGACTTATACTGAATTTGAAAAGCCACGTAACACACGCGGCCATTGTTTTGTAAAGGCTCATCGATTCTCATATTCAAAAGGTGACGATGAAATCGGGATAGACAAGATTAATATGGAAATTCAGTTAATTAATTTAAATTAAAATATGAAAAATTATCTTTGTTTCGCTAAAATATTTGCGCATTACTTAAATTTTATGCATAAGTTATAATGTCTTAAGTTTCTTTATTTTAAAATTAGGCATGATATTGTAAATATTAAATAATAAAAAAAAAAGTTGTTATGATACGAGAGGTGTGACACGAAGTGCGTGATACCTCATAGCCAGTGGCTTATTTTAATCAGATAAATATTTATTTATCCCTTAATGTACCGACAAAACGAGATAAGGCCAAGCCTATATATTGCCTCATAAAACCGTAATCTTATTCGAATACTGTGTTGACTGAATTATGAGTTCCTTAACTATCTACAAATTGCCGCTGCGATGAACAGATAGGCATTCAACTTTCACTTAACAGTGTGTATCAAAAATGCAAAGGCTAGCAAACTCAGTTGCTTTTTGATGGCACTCCCCGTCTTAAATCTGGAATAAGAGAGTAATATCGTTTACGAGTGATTTTAGTTGCTTAAAATAGATTTTTAAATGGAAAATTTAATAGAATAATCCATTTCGTATCTCCATTAAATGTTCACACGTTTCTGTATGTTAAAATTGTTCTTTGAGTAAGTAAAATTGTTAGATATGTCTTTCCTTTTCTAGAAAAATTAGTGCATAATGACTTAATATAGATTAAATTTATGTTTAGATAGGATCTAAGGAGTCTAAAAAGTTAAGAAAATGTTTTAAGAGTGAAACTTTTTTTTGTAGTTTTTCTTTATTTTAATATAAATTTAGGCTACATAGTTTCATCTTATAATAGTAGAAATTAACAGTTAAAATATATGTATATATTAACCTATACATTAAATTTTATAAGGTTAAAACTTCTCTAAAATATAGGCCTAAATTTTATCATAAAACTCAAGCGAAAGTCAAGGGCAAAAATGTCAGAAAATCGTCAGCAAGTGTCAAGTGGTCAGCAAATCGATTTGAAAATTTGCAATAAGCCTATAAACTACTTTAACATGAATTATATTGAACTCACTTCTAAAAATACGCCTTCTTGTATCTAGCACATCAAAAGAATGATTACTTTCCAATATTTTCTCACTATACAAATGAAATTTAATGTTATTAAAGCCTAATATAGATTAATAATAATGGCATTCCGATAAAGATTAAGAATATTTCTGTCATACATCTTTAAAAATTCATAAATAAATCTATTGTAAGTTATAAGCACGTTAAAACAATGTCATCTGACTTAATCTGTTTAGTTATAAAACAAAGTAATGTTTATTTAACGCTGGTAATTTCAAAAAATATAATAAAAAATCATGATTCCTGCTTAATTTTTAACAATAGCACAGCATAACTCACAAAACAATATACTACAACTAAATAAATAAATTCTTTATAAAATTTCTTAATAATTCTTTAAATATTTAAAGAATTTTTACATATAAATTCATTGTTTAAAAAGTGTTAAAAATGGAACTGTTATCGTCTCATAATAAAATACTAACAGATGATTTTATAGGCTAATTAAATATAATAGTAAGGTGTTAAGTTTCTTAATAGATCCAGAGAAATTGCTGCTTACTGACAATTATAAACTTATTTTTAAAATTACATAAGAAAAAATATTGATACTGTATGCAATTAAAGAAAAAATAAAACATGTATTTGTTAAAAATATTAGGCCCTTCTTTATTAAAATAATGAAGAACATAGTAAGCTTATAATTAAGTATTAGAATAATATAATTAACTCGTCTTTTTCTAAAGTTAAAACCTGTCAGGCCTATTGTTATATCAGCATTATAATAAGGTTGTAATGATAAGTTAAAAATTAATTTTTAATTATGAAAACGAATAATAATTGATAAAGAAAACTATTTAATCAAGGGATTGTTTTAATAATAATAGGCCTTCTATATCAATGATGTGTAGTATTAAAAGTTATATTTTTTTAACTCACAATTAAGGATAAAAATATAGATTAAGAGTTGCAGTTTGATGAGAGTTTATTGCCTTATAAGACAACAGTTAAATGCTTTGTTTTTCTGTAGTTAATTTTAGTTATAGAATAAGATATGGGCTTACTCTTTACTCGAAATTCATTCAGTTTGAATTAGCTTGAAGATCTAGTTTCATGATAGAAGTAACACTTAAATTTCCCATTAGAACAATGCATTGGTTAGTTTCATCTCTTTTCAGGCTTGTCTACGATCAAGCAAACAAGATATTCGAAAGGCTTTTAGTCTAATAACAAAACAACAAAACTTTTTTTTTTTTTTTTGAGAAGATCCCCATTCAATTATATATATTGCCCTATTGAGGGGATGTTAAATCATCCGTAGCATCAAAATAAACATTGAAACCACCAAATGACTGTTTATGTCTATAATTCGATTGATATTTAGTCATCTGTGTCGGAACAAACATCATTTCCAGGATAGTTCGATATTTCTTCACACTTTCCACTGATTTGTGTTGACACAGTCTTGCTTAATGTTCCATGCTGTCTATTACGTGACTCACTTTTAATCTACAATATTGGAAGAACCAAGAGGATCTTCTATAAAGGATTCACGAGTACATACTAGAAACTAAGGCTAGATTTAATTTTTTTTTCATAATAAAGTAGGGATGTGATCGAAAATACTCACTGTTAGGCGGCGATAATGCACGTCCTGCTTGCAACCAAGGTATAGTAGTTCCTAGGGGATGAACCCAAGCGGGTGGTGTAGGAATAGGAGACTGACCGGATATAATTTGCCTTCCAGATGAAGAAGTACCGTAATCTGCTAAATTTTCCAATATCCCATTTGTTTTAATACCATCCGCATCCAACAGACCCTCTACGGTAAAAAGGCGCCTGGGATTTTGGGATTCTGCATCAGTTTTTTTAGTCACGTGATCGGAGAGAAGAGAATCCACCGAGAAAGATATAGATTTGGAAGATTTCGTGGACATGACGACATCCATTCTATCACCAACCGCATGCTAACTTTCTCCGATGCATCGAACACCTTGATCAACACCTGACTGAATGGACGGATGGTCTATTGCTACTATTACTGTATTAAATCCTATCATTGGCTGTTCTCTCGTGACGTCACGCTCACCACTCCCGATACCGCACGTTATTAATGAAAGTAAGAGCGAATAGGAGGGCAGAGACTTTTCCATTGACGTTATCAGCAAATATTTTTTAACCATTCGATTTTTTAATGTTTTAATTAATGGTCGAGGATATAAAATTCTAGTTTTTTTTTAAATGTTCAACCTGTTGTTGATTATCTGTATTAATTTTTACTTATTTTAATATTAGTGAAAGAATGCTTAACTTTTAAAAAGAAACTATATTAATGTATTTTTTTTTTCTTCTTCTTCTTCTTTTTTTTATTAAAAAAATATATTTAGTGATTCAGATAAGCAAGTAAAGAGGTTAATGTTGAATATTTTTTTTTTCTGTAGATCCATTCTTTAATCAGTGTCTATTGAAGAGTATTGAAACCACATCCTGCATCTAGGAGCAAGTTGTTACGCTCTGCAGGTTAACAATCGCTCCCCCTCTAAATGAACAGGTAAGGTAATTCTATCCTCACTCTTCAGATTGACTTCTTATTCTCACGTTTTACAAAGAACACACCACCAAAAAAACTGACCTTTACAAGACCCTACACCTGTATTATGGTAATGGTTCACCTTATGCGCCTTTAAAGGGAGAAAAATATGCTTATAAAGATAGCCGAGAACAGCTGCAGTTATACAACATTTAGCTTCACAAGTTCTTCACAATGAAAATGCAATAATTCATATAGGATAGCGGTTTCTCAGAATTTTTACACGAAACTTTCTAAAACATTCTGTTGATCCCTCAGTTATTATGTTTTCTTAAGAAACTGACTTAACATGGATTCACTTCAGGTGCATCCATTTTGTTAGAATATATTACGGTTTTACATCAGTTCGACGTCATTTCTATATGTTTTGTAAGAGAAAAGAGTGTGTAAATGACTTCGAATTTTTATAACTCTCAATCAAATTCTTAAGTAGACATTTTTAAAACTGAATTATTAGCATTAGAAGTAAATATTTACTTGTTTTCCTTCAAAGTCTTTCATTATATAGAAATTCGTTTGTAGCATTACAAAAAAATCAGCTGTAAGTATATCTTGATATTTATGTCATTATAAATTATGTTAAATACTATTTTCTGCTTGTATAAAGTTTAATTCTTTTTTCTAATACTTAAAGGCTCACACAGAATGCTTTGTTAAGACTTAATTTTAAACTTCAAGTCACACTAAAGAAATACGAAGATAATCACGCTTAATACAGAAATATAATAAATATTTCGAACAAATTTCTGTAATATTTAATTCAGAAACAGGCTAATCAACCGAGTTAACTGTCCTTTGAAATTCATTTAAACACTTAATAATTTTTACACAGGCCTGCAATTTGCAAAGAATGTTTATAAATCAGATTTTGTTATAAAGAAAAGTGAAAGATAATCGTTTCGGATATGAATGATGCATTCAACAGGGCATGAAACGAGTAATTCTGTTGAGAAACTAAAGATGCACGCCTCGATCTTTCGTTGATTCAAAGTGTCAAAAGCAATTAAAGTTTGCACGTGTTGTTTCCTGTTGAAACAGTCTTCTTCTGTTTATATCTTATTATTAAGAATTGTTTATAATCCATTCTTAAATCATTCGTTTTGTTTTGACAATAACACGTTTAAGAAAAAAAAAAAAAAAAAAAAAAAGGGAAGCCAAGACACGTGGAACATTTAACTAATAAAATCAGGCGTTATGTTCTCAATCACCCTCAAATTAAAAATAGAAAAGGTAAATAAAAGTGAATGAATTTCAAAACAATCCGGGTAACAGTAGAAGTGGTAAAAAAAAAATTCCCCAGAAGCTTAAATATGTAGAAAGTTATACATTTGTTCTCCTTGTCTTATCACGTTTACGGTTAATTCTCCCCTATGGGCTTTTTCTATGACATCTTCATATTCTAAATCACTCTAGCAGTTTGCAAAGAATATATTCAACTTCCTATTCAACAGGAAACGTGTTATACTTACAATAAAATTTAATTATTTTCTGTGTAAATAGGAGTGATAAAACAAATGAAAGTATAGTGGAGCGAAGTCTTAAGTTTCTTACGACGAATTCTGCCGAAGAATTGATTAAAATATAATACAAATAACGCTAGAGTTTGGAATTACGAACGTTCTAACTGACACAAGTAGACATGTATATTATTATTATTATTTATTAAAAAAGAAAAACAAAAGAAGTGAAACGTTTAAGGGAAGTCACCATCAACCCTTCACAAACTGACAAAAAAATAATATAAAAATATATATATATTTAAAAAAAAGAGTGAGAAAAGGAGCATAAGCAAGCTAGAAAAAGAAAAGAAGAAAGGAAATCCAGTACCATCAAAGTAGGGAAAGACGGCAATAAATTTCCATAAACCTTTAACAATAGAGAAAGAGCCCGGAGACATCAAAGCAAAGAAGCTCTTTCATTGATAAACAAGACTGTTGTCCAGAGGGCTCTATCGACTCGCGTGGCCGACTCATCTGTCATGGGACGGAAGCACTCGTTCGATAAAAGGCGTTGAGACTCACTAATGAGGAATCTTCAGGCCCACAGGAAATTAGGGCCATCAGTTTGAAGGTGTTCGCTATCTGATTATTGAATTGATCCCTTTTGCTTTCAAGCATCACCACGACCGGCAGTGTATGACATCCCACATCTTTATGTCTTTCTTAACGTAGATAGAGATTATCTCGTCTCCAATTTTTTTTTTTTTTTTTTTCTTCTCTTCGTCGGATAATTTAAAGACTTTTTCCTCCTTACTTCTCGTAAATTTTATGCTTTCCTTATTGCTTGACGTATTAAAAAATAAAAAATAAAATTGTTTTATCGTCGTTACTCTATAGTTAACTTTCGATTAAATAGACAAATTTATTTAATTTATATACATATTATTATTTAAATATTAAATTCTGAAAAATTACTTACGTATAAATAATTAAAAATACTTCTTTTTTGTATTTCAGTATACACTAAGTGATATTGTAAGGGTTCTCTGTAAGAAAGTTGATCACGTATTAGCTCTTAAAAGTTTGAATTTAAGTGGAAAAATAGAAAATAAAGTCGTTTTTAGATACGAAATTGATTTTATTTAACTCTGAATTAAACTATCAGTCCTGTTAAAGACGGCCACTGACGAGAATATTAAGAAACTGGCCGTTGTTAGAGGTCTAAACAGCGCCAATTTTCTGAAAAAAATTGGCGGTGTTTGGAGGTGAACGTTGTTGTAGATAAGAACAATCACTGTTTAAAATCACTACAGAATTACTCACTTAAAAATCCCATTTAATATTAATAAACATTATCCTTAAATCTATTCATCTACACGAGTTTAAACCCAGCGCATTCGGTCTGTGAACAGAGCGGTTTAAATCAAGCTTTACACATAAAATGCAACACAAAAACATGTATACTGAATAAACGCTTTATGTTTAAGTTTGGCCTGACTTTCCAATCATCAATAGCCAGGGTTAAATACAGGAACGGTGCCAAGTCAATGAGGTATTACGCTACGCATGAAGGATCACTCATAACGTTGGCAATACGCTAGCATTTATTGTCCATAAGTCGCATGAAATCAGTGTTCCGCACTGCTAGATTGAACCGCAACCAAATTTCGTACCTATATGACGTATTGTTTTGTTAGTTTCGACGACGTTCGTGCCATAGTTCGCGTGCCACGCGACGCCTACGAAATATTTACAAAACTAAGACCCTAAATGTTCTTTTTGTTTTCTTAACTGATTAAGAAATTTGATGTGTTTACGCGCCGTTTGACAGTGAAAGTCTTTATAATACTTATCTAAACATACTTTCGAAAGGGAAATAAATTAACCTGTTCTTGATTTATGTACGGTAAAACCTGTTCAAAACGAAAACCTGTCATACCGGAGAAAATATTCGATGCAAGTGTAATTCCCGTTTACACAGGTTTTACTGTGTAGTAAAAACACAAGAAAAAAGAATTTTTTCCGTTTAGGCAGGTTCCGTTTTGGACAGGTTTTACTTTATATGTAAGTCGACCCCCTTATAACACTGTTGATAATTCCGTTTTATATGAATTCCACGTTGTACGAGTCACTTAGATTTTACAATTACGTGAGCCGTTCACAGCCTGGNGTCGACTGTATATTGCATATTAAGCCGGTTATGGTGCCATCCGTTGATTAATATTTTAAATTTTTATTTAAATTAAGTTTTTCGTTTCGGTTTTTTAATAATAAGAACATTTTATAAATATTTTTATTATAAAAATATGGTTATAATGTAATTTGGTGGTGGCGCCATCTAGTCGTGTTAATTCATAATACTCGTGTTTCTAATAAATAGAGAACCTCAAATTATGTATTCATATGTTGTCTTAATCCATAAATATGTACTGTACAGTACATTTTCTATTGTTACATCACGCAACGCTTCCTAAACATATTTATCATCATTTTAATGAAACTAATTATATTCCACGAAACGATTGAACTGACAAATTAGAATTTTTTGTTGTAAATCGGAATCTAGTTAAACGTTTGATTATTTTTGGTGTAATCTATTGTTAATATTGTCAAATAATAATTATTTTTTATGGATAAAATAAATGGCATTTTATTCTTTTATCATTTTGTAAGCAATAAGGTCGTGTTTTACAGCAAAATTTGCCATTGAACATTGTTGGTTGATCGTGGTTTCGCGCCTGGCCAACGAGCTGGCCACGTGGAGTTTTCTGGGTTTTCTTCATATTTGTAATACCTAAATAAAGCCGTTTCTCATAGAAAGTCCTCCCGGGAGGCATCCCTCTCGGCAGATCGCCCAAGTTTGGCGTTGACGTACAAAACTAATCCAATCCACAGCAAAATTTAACAAAACGCAAAGGCTGGAGCGTCATAACGCCTAAAATTTCAAACAATATTCTGTATCGTTCAATTAGATAACAAGAGTGATTTTTTTTACTTTCTTAACTTAATATGATACTGGAGAAGAATGCAGAAGGTAGCTTGGACTGAAAAATTGTCCAATAAGCATGCTTTAGAGAGAACAGGAGAAACCAGAAGCATTCTTAACACTATAAATAAAACAACTAACATGATAGGATATCTATTAAGACATTCAGAATAGATAAAGAATATTAATAATATTTGAGGCAATAATGGAGAGAAGAGCAGTAAGAAGACAATCAAGAAAGCAGTACTGGGATATAGTGAAAGGCAGAACACATTAGAGCAAAATTAAGCAATTGGCACTAACTTGTAAGTAGAAAGTGAATAGTGGACTTGATGCTGCCCACCAATCCAAGGGTTGGTGGGCAGCATCAAGTCCACTATTCACTTTCGACACTGATAGTTGGTTAGACACACTATTGACATCGAACACTCGTAGTTCGTCGTGGGTTTGCGCCAATTCGTTGGCGCAAACCCACGACCAACTACCAGTGTTCGATGGTTTTATCCATTCGCTTAAAAGTAAGAACTAAATCCTATGAAATCGATGGTTTCACTACAATAACTTTTTTGTAATCTTTCTGTTTCAATTGTCAGAGTTCACAGAACTGTAAGAAAGTTCCATGTCATGCCAAATAATATTAGCATACTTAGTCGATAGCTCTTTCATCGCCTACCATGACCAATAGGAGCACGAGTCTCAAAAAGTACATTGAATCTTTTCTGAAACATCGAATTTGATTGCATTGTTTTTCTTCTATTGGCTTAGCCTAATCAGTTTTTGTCTTTTCTGTTCCATCAATATACTGTACTTTTTTAAAAACAGTTATTTTCCCATAGTTTTTAATTGAAAATGGATAATCTTAAGGAGCATTTATAAAAATAGTATTTATATAAATTGATTACAAAATGGGAGAATGCATAGGCTTACTGTTCGTTTCATATCTGCCAGCAGAGTATCCGGCATTCTATAAACGCCTAGGTAAAGTATAGGCCTATAATTGCCTGTATTTAGAGCATACTGTACCTAGGCATTTATACTGATTATAGAGCATGCTATGCAATGCCTGAATTTCATACTTTGCCTGTAATATATATACTACGAACTGGCTTAGCATGCAAAGTATAATTTATTTCCCGAGATATGGGAGATCCCAAAATATTTAATGAAAGTCATGAAAAAGATCTCGCATTCCAAGATTTTGGCAATTTGATAGAATTAGTCTCTTGTTTTCCCAGAACTACAGGTTCTGTAGAAAGAATAAACTTATTTTCACTTACGAATTTCCCGAGGTCAAAAAAGTCCGGAATAAATATTGAAGCCATGAAAGCAATGCTAATTACAAAGCAAAATTGCGACTTAATTTCATAATAAAATTTATCACACTGAGTGAGCAGGGCTTATCAAAATAAGTTCATCTGAAAAATATGCTTGGTTTGGCCCTTCTTTACGGAATTCTGAGAGGGCCTTTATTCATCAGCTTTGGTTTCTCCTTCCCTTTCTGGCATAAATTATGGCCAACCTAATCGGAAAGTCCATGTAATAAACAGTATGCTAGATTGCGGAATGCAACACATTTGTAGAAATTTTCCACATGATGAAATTATAGTATATTTTTGTTTAAAGCAGCTAGCTTAGAACACACCCTCTATAAACATTGACTATGAGGGATCAGGTGATTATGATAGCAATGCCAAAGGGAAAAAAGTGACCAATTACTCTTTTCTCAATGAAATGATCTCGTAAGAGCAGTCACATTGGTCTTGCGATACGAGGCAGCCATCTTGCAGGAAAATTGCCTTGTCTAGGCATCCTGTTTGCAGCATTGCATCCGTTCACGTAGACTTGACGGCACCAAACAGAGTGAGACGCATGCTTTTTTTTTTTTAATCAGTTCTTGAGAATACGCTTACAATACTCATTTTATACCTTTCTGCTATTGAAAAAAAAACGCGATTTATGCGACGTACTTTCCCTACCGGCACATTATGAAACTAAATTTTTTTCGCGTAATCCTTCTCTCACGCCTTAAATCTATTATCATCACCTATCTATTATTCCAGTGATTACAATTGAAGTTCTGATTATCCTGTAACAGGATTAATTACATTAAGCACCCATTAGGTTCAGGTTAATCAAAACAGCAAATATAAGATTCATAGTTAACAATCAAACACCTTATTTATGCTGAGAAAATGTTTATTAAATATTCATAAGCATTTTCGACTTGATCTCCAAATCATCCCCAGGTATCTAAAGACCATATAAAGTCATCCCCGGATATCTACAATCCATAAAAGTCATACAAGGTAGTTGTATTCTGCACCTGAGGATGACTTGTAGAACAAGTCAAAAACGTTTATGAATGTTTAATAAACATTTTCTGGGCGTAAGGTATTCAAGTATTAACTATTTTCCTGATAAGGATTGTTTTGGCTCATTTAATAGAATGTTTCATTTAGTAAAGTTCTCATAGTAGTAGTAATAAGTTAGGGAATTATTACATTAATTTACTACTACTTTGAAAAGAATTTTTAGATGAATTTATAACTAAATTATAGAACTATGCTAATTTATACATATATAAATAAACATTACAACCTAAATATTAATTTATAAACATAGGAAACACTTTATGACAATATTATCCAAATATTTATTTTTATTTAAACATAAAATTCAGTTTTTTTTTTTTTTCAAATATTAAACTTTGTTTTGTTCTTATTACAAATTTCAAGATCTGGTCGTCTGCATGGTTCTTGTAAGATTCTATTCGGTCGTAAATGTAAAGTTTTTTAACAAGCGGGATTTTGAAGTCGTCTTTTATAAAATGGAAGCAACATTTCAAAACTCGCTAGTGTGAAAATATTTTAAAATATTCTGGGAAGGTTTTGATGTGATGCAACTCTTCCACCAAGTTGAAAAAACTAAGTTTTACTAAAATAAACTTTTAAAGCCTTGAAAATACAGATAATACTGCCTTTGACAAACTCATGAGGCCACTAATTTTTGAGACCAACATGCACTGTTTCTATAGATGAAAGAAAAACCTACATACATCCAGTAATGTATGACGATACAACTTTTATGAAAGCATCCATTAGAAGATTTTACATTCTTTCACTGGATTTATATTTATATATATTTTGTTTATTATCTTTCATAAACAAAGCTCGAACTCTTAATGTTTGCATCTCACTCGAGATATTTCTCTTTCTAGACAATACAAAATGTTAAAACATCAAGAGTAGCAAATGATATTCATCTTGTCTCTGCTTTGTGTTTTGGAGGTCGAAATTCTTTTAGCTTCTTACTCTTGTTTCCAGTTTTGAAAGCTTTCCAACTGTTCACACGACTTTCTCGACTATCCTGGAAGAATTATTTAAAGTAAATATCTAATATCTTTTCATTATTTTAATATAGTAAATATAGAATTAATTAAAAATAATAATTTATTTTACAAGATAAAATAAACTCATACTTCAATACAGAAGACATTTTACACACTCACTTCATAATTTTTTTGCCATTCAACTTCTAATTTTTTTCTTTCTTCTTCAGCTATTTCTTGTTCTCTCTTCCTTTTCCTACAGAAAAGTTTTATATATTTATAAATAGTAAACAAATAACACAGTTTTACAATATATAATAACGTAATTTTGAAAATGATATTGCCTAAAAGAAAATTCCATGATTTAATTCTAACACTTCCTAAACATTTTTGTGATGTTTTATTAAATATCCATTATATTATCAGTAACTATTTAAAAGAAGATATGTAGAACCCCTATTTTTTATTTTTTATTAATAAACGTTCTCTGAAAATAAAGACAAAGATATATCGGAAATGATATTTCCATAGAAATTGGACCCACGAGTGGTCAAGTGGATAAACAGCTAAACACTGGTAGTCGATTGCAGGTTTGCACCACACCAATGGGATGGCACTCAGAATTTTCTGGGTTTCTTCATATTTGTAACACCTTAATAGGGACCAGTTTTCCCATAGAAAGTCCTCTCAGGAAGTATCCTCCTCAGCAGATTACCCATGAATTGCATTGATGTATACAACCAACTAACCAGAGAAGTCAATTGTTTCGATTACTGTTTGTTTTTTAATGCATCAAGTCCACAAAATTAATGTTTTAATATACATATATATATATATTTGCATTATTAAAGAAATAATCTAAAATTAACTTCCACATATTCAAATACATCAATAAATTTAAAAATGTATAAAGTCATCATTAAATTTTTAAACAACAATGTAATTTCATGTAAAAAGAGACAACAATTATAATTTTATAATTCACAAGTTCAGAATTTTACTTGTAATTACTGTCTTGCAGTTTTAATTTTTATAATTTTACCATCACTAGAAGAATTTTTAACATAATTTTGCATATTGAGGCAGACAAGAGCCTCAAAATAAAGGCTAACTCTGCAGTAGCCCTCCTCACAGACTATAGCATGAAAGGGGGATGAATTGTAAAGGCACTTTAATTTAGTGTTTTTATGAACTTGCAAATTTTTATTGAAATATTTAAACTCTATATTAATTAAGATTAAAAAATGATACTTTATTAAAGCAAATTGCAATAGAAGCAGAGAGATTTTAATGTTTATATACTAAACCTCATCAGGAGAACACATTCTTAGATTATAAATAAAGTATTTTATTTTTAAATTGTGTTTCCATAAAGACTGATCTGCAAACCTGAAAATGTTTAGAACTCCGCTGGATTTTACTCCAATAAAGTAGTTTTTTTATTTGCTTATTTTTAAACGTTTGGAACAGAATATGTTTTAACATAATGCTGCCAGATCAGATGCAGTATGTAATACACACAACATTCTGTTGCCAGATAAGAGGTGAAGGTATTGTTCCTAGATCACCAGAGTGTGAATTCAAATCAGATTTGGCTCTGTTTGTTGGAATTCAATGAGAAATATTATTATGGAAATATATTACAAATGCTTCAGTTCCTGGCTTTGTTTTAATCAAAATTAGTAATATTAGTTTTTATGCACTTCTGAAAACTTTTTTATTGTGTATAATCATTTATATATATCACTGAAATTAATTTAAAAATCTTACGAATGAAATGTAAGCAGGTGTGTTGTCTCAAATTTGCCCATTGATTTTAGAATATTGAAATTTTCAAGTTATTTTATGCAGGTTTACTTTAACGAAAACTGATAGAAAACTTAGTGCAATTTTTTCCTTCCTTGTCCTATCAACCAGGTGTTGTCGTCATTGCTTTCAGACTTTAGTCCTTAACCTTTCAGCAGTGGGTTAGTCAGGTATGGTGTACCTGACTTAACCTTAATTATCTCTATGTAGTGAAGAATAAACGTGGAAAATTTTTAAAGTATTTTTCCACACGTTTTTTCTCATTATCGTTTTGGAAAAAGATTTTGTAAACAGTTATGTCTAGTAAAGAAAAGTATTTTTTTATTGTTACGTAATTCCTTTTTTATGTGAATTTTTTTGTGGTAGTTTTTGGCAATATCCACAAAATTCTTTTGCGGATATATTCATCCTTCACCACTGCCACACGATCACCCTTGACGGATATATCCGTTGGTCACTGTTGAGTGGTTAAAACTGTCACCCATGTCTTCTTTTTATAGTTTAATCTTTGTATTTAGTAAAGTTTATTTAAACATTTTTAGGCAAGTGTTATTAAACTTTTTTTAACTGTAGATATTACTTACCTACAAATGAAGTAATTATTTGTAAAAATGAAGAAAAAAAATACAGTGGTATCTCGGTACTTAAACTTTGGAACTATTTGGAACACAAATTCTGGGAAATTTTTTTATGATAAAAATAAAAAATATGAAAATGTTGCCAATACTTCTGATCAAGAACAACAAAAAAGCCAAGGTGATGATGATACTTTGTAAAAAGAAAACACCCTGGTTTAACTAAAATTAATGCATAATATAGTACTTTTAATTGCAATTGTTAATTAATTATTGATTGGAAATAAATTATTGATTGCTTTAATAAACATATTTCTCTTAGTAATGGAAAAGAATAATATATTTTTGCTAACTTCTGGAACATGACTCCATGTGCACTAGTCCTTTCATATAGCATGGATTTGCATAACACAGAACTTTTTGGAACATAATTACTGTCTTATATGAGAGATACCTGTATTTGAAAAATATGAAATAATAATAATAAACAAAACTTTAAAATTTCTTATTTAATTAATTTTGGAGACAATATTTAGTAAACGTGACAAAACATGGATTACAAAACACTAAAATTTCATACCCAACATCTCATGTAGAAAAAATTACAGTACTGAAAAATAACACTTGTATTTTTTTCTCTATTATTTAGAATCTCTATGTATAGAAGAAACAGATTTCAGATAAAACAAAAAATAAATCTCATAAGATACATATACAGTATAAAGATCTGGGATCACCAATAATTATTACAAATATATATACATATGATTAATAGTAGTACTGATTTCTGTATTTCTTGAAAGAGATTTTTGTTATGAAGACACAAAATGTAGTCAATGTTTCATATAACTTTGACAATATATATTACTATATTTTTTTGGAATTGATTATTCAATTAAAATTTCCTTTGCTTTTAATAAATTTAATAATAAGCTTTAAATTGCTTAAAAATTTTATGATAATTAAATGAATAAACATATTTAAAATTCATTTGGTGTAAGAAAAANAGGTGTTCGCTATCTGATTATTGAATTGATCCCTTTTGCTTTCAAGCATCACCACGACCGGCAGTGTATGACATCCCACATCTTTATGTCTTTCTTAACGTAGATAGAGATTATCTCGTCTCCAATTTTTTTTTTTTTTTTTTTCCTTCTCTTCGTCGGATAATTTAAAGACTTTTTCCTCCTTACTTCTCGTAAATTTTATGCTTTCCTTATTGCTTGACGTATTAAAAAATAAAAAATAAAATTGTTTTATCGTCGTTACTCTATAGTTAACTTTCGATTAAATAGACAAATTTATTTAATTTATATACATATTATTATTTAAATATTAAATTCTGAAAAATTACTTACGTATAAATAATTAAAAATACTTCTTTTTTGTATTTCAGTATACACTAAGTGATATTGTAAGGGTTCTCTGTAAGAAAGTTGATCACGTATTAGCTCTTAAAAGTTTGAATTTAAGTGGAAAAATAGAAAATAAAGTCGTTTTTAGATACGAAATTGATTTTATTTAACTCTGAATTAAACTATCAGTCCTGTTAAAGACGGCCACTGACGAGAATATTAAGAAACTGGCCGTTGTTAGAGGTCTAAACAGCGCCAATTTTCTGAAAAAAATTGGCGGTGTTTGGAGGTGAACGTTGTTGTAGATAAGAACAATCACTGTTTAAAATCACTACAGAATTACTCACTTAAAAATCCCATTTAATATTAATAAACATTATCCTTAAATCTATTCATCTACACGAGTTTAAACCCAGCGCATTCGGTCTGTGAACAGAGCGGTTTAAATCAAGCTTTACACATAAAATGCAACACAAAAACATGTATACTGAATAAACGCTTTATGTTTAAGTTTGGCCTGACTTTCCAATCATCAATAGCCAGGGTTAAATACAGGAACGGTGCCAAGTCAATGAGGTATTACGCTACGCATGAAGGATCACTCATAACGTTGGCAATACGCTAGCATTTATTGTCCATAAGTCGCATGAAATCAGTGTTCCGCACTGCTAGATTGAACCGCAACCAAATTTCGTACCTATATGACGTATTGTTTTGTTAGTTTCGACGACGTTCGTGCCATAGTTCGCGTGCCACGCGACGCCTACGAAATATTTACAAAACTAAGACCCTAAATGTTCTTTTTGTTTTCTTAACTGATTAAGAAATTTGATGTGTTTACGCGCCGTTTGACAGTGAAAGTCTTTATAATACTTATCTAAACATACTTTCGAAAGGGAAATAAATTAACCTGTTCTTGATTTATGTACGGTAAAACCTGTTCAAAACGAAAACCTGTCATACCGGAGAAAATATTCGATGCAAGTGTAATTCCCGTTTACACAGGTTTTACTGTGTAGTAAAAACACAAGAAAAAAGAATTTTTTCCGTTTAGGCAGGTTCCGTTTTGGACAGGTTTTACTTTATATGTAAGTCGACCCCCTTATAACACTGTTGATAATTCCGTTTTATATGAATTCCACGTTGTACGAGTCACTTAGATTTTACAATTACGTGAGCCGTTCACAGCCTGGCACACGTATTTGTAGAATTTAAGTGACTCGTACAACATGGAATTCATATAAAACGGAAAAATCAACAGTGTTATAGGGGGGCGACTGTATATTGCGTATTAAGCCGGTTATGGTGCCATCCGTTGATTAATATTTTAAATTTTTATTTAAATTAAGTTTTTCGTTTCGGTTTTTTAATAATAAGAACATTTTATAAATATTTTTATTATAAAAATATGGTTATAATGTAATTTGGTGGTGGCGCCATCTAGTCGTGTTAATTCATAATACTCGTGTTTCTAATAAATAGAGAACCTCAAATTATGTATTCATATGTTGTCTTAATCC